AAGATGTGAGGCATGTTCCTGACATGCGTTTGAACCTAATCTCGGTAGGCAAGCTTGATGATGCCGGGTTAGTGAACTACTTTGGTAGTGTGAGATGGAAGCTGGCCAAGGGAAACTTGGTCGTGGCCCGAGGTAAGAAGGAAGGCTCCTTGTACGTGATGCAAGGAAAAATCAATGGCGGAGAAGCCAATTCTGTTCGAGATGAACCTAGCTTGGAGCTATGGCACAAGCGCCTCGGCCACATGAGCGAGAAAGGGCTACAGATCCTAAACAAGAAAGGATTACTGACCGGGTTGAAAGGCCAAGCGTTGGAGAGTTGCACGCACTGCCTAGCTGGAAAGCAGCACCAGGTTTCTTTTGTGAGACCGGATCAACCAAGACGACGCAAGTATATTCTTGACCTCGTCCATACTGATGTCTGCTCCATGTCGGAAAGATCCCTTGGAGGAGCTCAGTACTTTGTTTCATTTATTGATGACCATTCCCGCAAAGTGTGGGTATATTTGTTGAAGTCTAAAGACCAGGTACTCCAATCCTTTAAAGAATTCCATGCTATGGTTGAAAGGGAGACTGGCAAGAAATTAAAGGTGGTCCGATCTGATAATGGTGGTGAGTATTGCGGCCCATTTGATGCATACTGCAGAGCGGCCGGGATTCGACTTGAGAAGACGCCCCCTAAGACACCTCAGCTGAATGGACTGGCTGAGAGGATGAACAGAACAATTGAAGAGAAGGTACGAAGCATGATATCCAATGTCGGGTTACTGAAATCATTCTGGGGAGAAGCCGTCAAAACTGCCTCTCACCATCACGGCCACTTGAAGGAGAAATTCCAGAAGAAGTCTGGACAGGTCGGAAAGCGGCCTATAATCAACTGAAAGTGTTTGGATGCCGAGCTTTCGTGCATATCCCTAAAGATGAAAGGGCCAAACTTGATGCGAAGACAAAAGAATGCATCTATCTTGGTTCGCCAAGATGTGAGTTCGGGTTCCGACTTTGGGATCCAATCAATAAGAAGATCGTGAGAAGTCGAGATGTGATCTTTCATGAGCATGAGAACATTCATGACATCTCGAAGCCCAAAGTCAGAGTTACTGTCAGACGAGAAGAACCCATCCCTCCTGTCTGAGATGAAGCAGGGGGAGAAAATCAAGAAAATGAAGAAAATGATGATCAGCAACAAGCTGAAGATGAACAAGACACTGAGGTCCGAGTTGATGATGAGATTCGGGATGAAAATGATGAACCGGGTTCTCAAGCTGAAGAACAGCCGAGATATCCAACTCGAGAAAGAAGACCCTCTACGATATACCCATCTGATGAATACACCGTAGTTGCTGAAGACGGTGAGCCTCAGAGTTATGATGAGGCTGTGACGAGCTCAGAGAAAGAAGAATGGGAAAAGGCAATGCAATACGAGATGAAGTCTCTGCACGAGAATCAGACTTTTGAGCTGACTGAGTTGCCTAAAGGAAGATGAGCTCTGAGGAATAAATGGGTCTACAAGATTAAGAATGAAGAGAACGGGCAAAAATCGAGATACAAAGCCCGGATTGTAGTGAAAGGCTGCAATCAGAAAAAAGGAGTTGATTTTGAGGAGATTTTTTCTCCTGTGGTGAAAATGACCTCGGTCCGAACCGTGTTAGCCATGGCGGCTTCGATGGACCTCGAGGTAGAACAAATGGACGTGAAGACGACATTTCTTCACGGTGATTTAGAAGAAGAAATATATATAGAGCAACCTGAAGGATTCCAAGCTCCAGACCAAGAAGACTTGGTATGTCGATTGAAGAAGAGCCTCTATGGCTTGAAGCAAGCACCTCGGCAGTGGTACAAGAAGTTTGAATCATTCATGACTGATCACAAGTTTGAGAAGACTGAAGCCGACCACTGCGTATTTATGAAGAGGTATGAGGCCGGAGATTTTCTGATTTTGTTGTTATATGTTGACGATATGCTTATTGTAGGGAAAGATAAATCGAGGATAGCCGCCCTGAAGAAGGCGTTGAGCTCGTCCTTCGCAATGAAGGACCTCGGCCCTACAAAGCAGATTCTCGGAATAAAGATTATCCGAGATAGACAGAAGAAGCTACTGTGGCTGAGTCAAGAGAAATATATTGAGAAGATTTTGAAGAGATTCAACATGGACAAAGCCAAAACAGTGAGCACCCCCCTTGCCGGACACATAAAGCTGAACCAGAAGCAATGTCCGAGATCTGATGAAGACAAAGATGAGATGATGAAGGTCCCTTACCAATCTGCCGTCGGAAGCTTGATGTATGCAATGGTTTGCACTAGACCCGACTTGGCGTATGCTGTTGGAATGGTAAGCCGGTATTTGTCAAACCCCGGCAAAGAGCACTGGGAAGCAGTGAAATGGATCTTCAAGTACCTCCGAGGTACGACCGACTTATGTCTCAGATTTGGAGAAGGCAAAGCCGAGTTGCAAGGCTACTCGGATTCTGATTTAGGGGGAGACGCCGACTCGAGGAAGTCGACTACAGGATATACGATGAGATTTGCCGGAGGAGCTGTCTCTTGGCAATCAAGACTTCAGAAATGTGTTGCACTATCGACAACTGAGGCTGAGTACATTGCCGCTACTGAGGCAAGCAAAAAGATGCTGTGGATGAAGAAGTTCCTTATGGAACTCGGCCATGACCAAGACAAGTACGAGCTGGGTTGTGACAATCAAAGCGCAATCCATCTTGCGAAGAATTCGACCTATCACTCCCGCACCGGGATGTGGTGGAAGGTGGAAAGCTCGAACTCGTCAAGGTGCACACTGAACAAAATTGGTCCGACATGATGACAAAGCCGGTTCCAGCAAGAAAATTTGAAGACTGCTGTGAAGGAGCCGGGTTGATGCTGAAGCCGACGCATTGAAGTCAGAGGGGGAGATTTGTTGGGCTTCCTCCTTCAATGCTAAGCCCAAGCCCATTTGAGGGGTTTCCTAAAAACCCTAACCCTAATTTCCACCTCCTCTATATATACTCATTAGTTGAGGGTGGAGGCTAGGTCAGATTTGAGAAGAACAAATTTGAGAGAAAAAATTATTTGATTGTTTGAGTAAAGCTTTATGCTTTGCATTTGAGAGATCTCTAGAGAGAGTTTGAGTGAAACATCTCTAGGGTAGTTTGATTATCACCATTGTTGGAGAGGTTGAGTTAACCACCACATTGGTGTATTTGATTATTTGTAACCATTATTTTCATAGTGAATTTCTGATCTGGACTAGGTCCCGTGGGTTTTTACTTCTTCATTGGAGAAGGTTTTCTCACGTTAAATCTGGTTGTGTTCTTCTTCTCTCTCTCTCCTGTTTTCGTTTTGATTTTTCCGCTGCGCTGTCTGACCTGGTGAAGTTCAGGTTGAGGTATTGCCGAGATCCGAGATCAGGATCTTGTTGATTGACTTCCGCACAAAGGTCCCTGAGCCGAGCTAGAGGGAACCGAGTTTTCCCAACAATATTTTATTAAAATACTTTATATCATGTTATAGAAAAAATGTTAATTTCATAAATAAAATTTTTATCACTTCAACTTTTTTTTGGAAAAAATAATATTTTTTATATAATAATGACTCTGAAATTTAAACTTATAAGTTATAACTTCACCTAAATTATTCTAACCTCACTTTTTTTAGTAAAATCGCGAGTATTAAACACATTTTATATACGATTTTAATTTTTAATATTAATTTTATGAATTATACACGAGTGATGGTTGCAAGCCACATGTATAACTACTATAAGTCAATTTAGATTCAAAATACCAGGCATCCTGGATGTCTTCCAAAAAGTAGAGAAAGATCAGTGTTTTAAAATCCATCCCATTTTGGGATAGATTCCACCGAGTCATTGACCCTTTCTCTATTTGAGAATTAGGATCAGCAGTTAGACCTTGCATGCATGTTGCCCAGCATGCATGTTGACCCTTTTGCCTTTCAAATAGTTGAACACATGACTCCCGAGATAGAAGGGTCATTGCTTTTTTAAACAAAAAAATTTACACACGAAAAAAAAACACCTTTTGGTGTCAAAAAATAAAAATAAAACAAAAATTCGTTATTGCTTAGATTTAAAACTAAATCTGAAATCTGAATCCTTCTTCTTCTCTTCCGATATTCTCTCCAACATCCAGACTCGATCTCTCTGATCCGGTGATCTCCTCTGTCGTGATGGTGGTTCCTCCTATCATCTTTGGTCTTCTCTCTCTCTCTCTCTCCTCCGCCTTGTTGATTCTTCTCTCCCTACTATTGATTCGTCATACCGTAGGTGCATAAGAAGGACAATGAGGGTCTGAGTTGGATGATATAACTTTTCATTAACTCTATTGGAATATGTGTTTTATACTTTGATAGTTTGATACTTTCATTAGCTTATGTAATATTGACTTGTGGATGTAATCAGTTGAATTATGTTAATTATATTTTGAATATTTGATGATTGGTGGCTTGATTTTTTGAATTTTTCATGTAGGATATACATTAATATTTTTTAAGGGAAAAATATTTGTCATTTTAAAGGATATAATTTTGTATCATTTTATATCCTAACCGTTGATTTCTTTCCAACGGTTGGGATTTATTCGGTCAAATTTATTAATTAATTAGTAATTCACAATAAAATCTATTAAATCCTAATTGTTGATTGTCAGAAATCAACGATTAACATCTAAAATGACATAAAGTTAGATCTTTTAAAGAGACAAATATTTTTTTTTCATTTTTTAATGTATAAAATTGGGTCGAAGAAGTAACTCCATGATACCGAGTTGAACCTGTGACCCTTACCTCGGCCAAATCAATAGTTAGGCCGAATTTTTAAACACCGATTTTAATTGCTATATTAGTACTCATACCGTTACATCTTAAAAAAAATGATCTATGCCATTTATTTTAGTTAGAATTATAATTTTCAATTTAAAAATGAGAGAGAAAAGAAAAGAAGAGAAAAAGAAAAAAGAAGCACCACACATATTCGAGAGAAGGGAGAAAACAAAAAAACAAAAAACTGTTTGTTATGAATTATCCATTTGTTCCAAGAGAAGCGATACACGAGTGAACAGGAAAAATGTCCCATAGCTCTGTTTTCTGCAACCGCTTGGCGCCTCGACCTCCACTTGAGCCAAGCATGCACCAGAGTCGAAGACAGAGCACCATCACTGCTTTTGCTACAAAATCTGGAGGTGGAGGATTTTCATTTAATTCGGTGTGTTCTTGAGCTCATGAAACTATAATTAATCAAGAGGCCCTGCAATTTCTGGATTCACAAATTAAATCCAATTCAGAATAAGTTATCTGTTTGAATCACAATATAGCATGCCTTTCAGACCTTACTCCATATTGACTTTATGCTATCTGCAGATACTGAAAAGTTGTGGAACATGTGAAGGAAAAGGGGCCATCGAATGTCCAGGATGTAAGGTGCTGGTGCTATCCTTTAAGCCTGTTCCGTCCTTGCCTAATTGGATTATGTATTTATTTATTTTTATGTCTCTTTCCCTCATTTAGTTAGATATTCAACTTATATACATATTATTACTATAATTAAACCTTAGTACATATGCAGTCTCTTTCCGGCTAGGACTAATGGTGTCTCTAAATCTCCCCTGAAAGGATCGTTGTAGATTCAACCTACTTATTTATTTATTTAAAGTAAGCGAGCAAGTTTCTAAATTTAATCGATGCTTTATGCCATTTCACTTGAAAAGATGAAAAGATTGTTGTTAGTAGCTCTCTCTCTCTCTCTCTCTCTATATATATATATATATATATATATATATATATATATATATATATATGTATACATCAAGTGAAAACTTTGTGTTTAATCTATTCTTGATTTTATCCATCTTATTATTAACGAGTAAGCTAGCATCTTTTTATATTTATTTTATTTTGGTATTTGAGCTAGCATATTTATTTGCAAGGTGCTTATGGAGAGTACTATTTCCTTATTGTTAGAAAGCTTTTAAAAGCTGGTTGTTATTTTCGAGTGTAACAGGGGACGGGTAAGAATAAAAAGAATGGAAATATATTTGAACGCTGGAAGTAAGTTCTTCTCCCTTGCATTCTTTGTACCGCATCGCATGTATATATATGAATTGTATGCCATTTTATTTCCCTCGTTTAAAATCAGCTTCTGACATGCATCTATTGGTCTTAGATGTTTTGACTGCCAAGGATTTGGACTAAAGAGTTGCCCCAGCTGCGGAAAGGGCGGGTTAACACCAGAACAAAGAGGAGAAAGATAGGAGCTTCAAACCAAGCAATGTTCTCTCAATTGCGTGTGGAATTTTAAAAAGTCTAGTGTGAGAATATATACTTAAATACCTATTTTGCATTAAAACGTTTAAATGAATTAACAAACTTATTTTTAAATGAGTCAATGCACTATATAAATTATATTTTACAAAAAAAAAAAAACAGAAACTAGTTTACTATATAAAAAATTAAAGTGGGAAAATGCATTAAGTAGTTAGAAGGTAGGCAAGGGCCTTGGGGGATAAGTTAGCAGCCCAGAATTAATGATGGGTTTGTTGTTGCAAAAATGCACCCACTTTGATTATTTTCCTCGCATTATCATTATTCTTCATATCCATCCCCGCAACCCTCATCCTCCAAGCTTGGCTGGCCTTTTCTTCGCTCTTAAATTAATTCAAAGCGTTTTCCTGCAATCTTATTCCTTTCCTTTCCTCTCCTTTCAATCACAATTGATGATCATCCAACTTATCCGTCAAGCTGTTCCAACTTCTCAAATCAAAGTGTTCATCCTCAACCATGAAAGAAAAGAGATCTCTAAAAAGGCCTTTTATCCTTAGCAACCCTTTTGCCGGTAACACTGTTAAAGACTGTTCTAACTTATCCCTAGAAATTAAGCGCTTTTTGATTCATTATTGAATTATCCCTAGATTATGACTAGTTCTATTTAGGACCTGCTAACGCATATCGAGAGAGAATTTAAAGAAAGGAGTGCTTTCTTTACAATCCCATTAGCATTATAAACAATTTAAACAAACAGGTCGTGATTTAAATGAACAATATAGAACAGTTGTAAGTAACTACAATAAAAAGCACGAGCGTCGAGCTTTTACGGTGCAGTTTTTTTTTTTAGTATAACTTACATCCTCCTCAATAAATTTAATCATCCAAAGGACCAAAAGCTCGAGCACAAACCAGAATTTCCCACAATAAAAAACCCTTATACGAGAAGGGATTTTGAATCGATTTAAAACGAACAGCTATTGATCATTTATATGACCAAAAATAAAAATCCCTTTTTCTTAGGATTCTAACTGATTCTATACACCACGTTGAAATCTCAAGCTACTTTGATCCAATTGGGTACCCCCCACTCTTTAATATTTACGTGAAAATTGTAATAGAGAAAATGGATAAAAGTCGGAATTTATCGTGATAAAGTTAGCATTTAGAACATTAGTATTCTTCAATTCTTATATATAGCATCTTCCATAAAACAAAGCCTGAAGCCTGAAATCATGCATCGACTGTCAAAATGGGAGAAAATCTGAAGTTTTAAGTTTCAATTTCGTTGGCCACATTGGAGGTGCAAACACTAGGTAGGAAGAGGAGCATACGAGACAAATAGCAATGCGAAAGACGAACCTCTAAGATCAGCATCACAACCCAAACTTAAAGACTAGGGAACTAGTGCCAAATGAGCAAGATGCTTTCAAATTTAAAAATACTCTAAATCAGGATCACCATACATAATTTAATGTAAGGATATCCTCAGAAATAGAGGAATTTCGTTCCAAAAATTCTATGACATTCTTGAAGGGTAAAAAAAATGTAATCTCATTTAACTCAGATGAAGTCTAAACACAATTCACTTGCAATGATATTAAATTTGATCATAAAAATTGTAAAAGACTCCAACAATTCCCTCACCATCCAATCCCACAATGGAAACTGCACTTTGGCTTAAGGATGTCATTCAGATTGGGTATGAAATTTTCTAACTCGTCACACACCAACTCAAACAAAAATTCAACTAGTATACAGAGGGCTGCTAAAAGTTTGTAGGATTAGTATGAATATAAAGAGGTACTGAACTCATTTCAGAATAGTCAAACAAAAATTTCCAGAAAGCAGGAGTTTTTTTATTTTATTTTTTTTCCTCCTCAGCAGCAAGAAACAAATTAGAAACCATGACCAACAAAATGCACAAGAACCACATCAAGCAATTGGAAGCTCACCAGAGTCACTTATAACCACCTTCTTTCTAGGACGGTCACCCCGATCTGTCTCCTGTGACTCGATCAACCTAACAATGTCCATGCCTTCCAAAACTTGGCCAAACACAACATGCCTCTGATCCAGCCATGGTGTCTGCAAATTCATCATACAAGTGGATTATGTCAAAACCAAGGAACATTAACAATTTCCTCTTAGTTTACTAGATATTATGTTTTTTTAACTTTTCATCATAAATCTTAATCAATATTAGTTGTAGATGGCATGTGGTACTTTAATTACAATCTAATTTAAAATTGCTGTCTTTTATATTTGATATTTTCACATATGAATATGGAGTAAAAAGTCTTATCAATATTGTACAGAAAAATGTGCCAAAAAAAAAAAGAGATGAGATGTAGCGGCCCATGAGATTAATATGGTCCAGAAGCTAGGCACAAGGTACAGGGTAGCAGCAGACCCAATAGGATCAGGGGGAGGCTGAACTACTTGGATGAGTACCAGACTTATACCAGGAGCCCACGAAGCTAGAATATGCCAAGTTTACCTTCTTCTTCTTTTTCTTTTACGATAGTACTTAGTTATTTTTAATTGTTTGAGTAATTTTAGTTTGATTATGATCAAGTAAAAACTCTTGTCAGTAGTATATATGGAACGATTAGTAATGAAATGGGCATGAAGAAGCTATGACTTCCTCTTCCCACTCGTCTCCACCTGCTCTCTCTCTCCCTCTGCAACTTTACTCCCTTTAAACCCTAATACCATTTCCCATCTCTGATTTCCTGCTAATCTCCCTACATGAGCTAAGGTACACTGAAGATCAGGCTCATTTAACATGCATGCAGAAAAGTTCCCAATGAAGTTAAAAGTGGATACCAGTTGCACAACAAACATGTCATTTTTAAATAGGCAGGAATCTAAAATGTCAAAACAAACATCGAATCAGGAATATTGCATATTTCTCATTCAATCAAAGCATTTCGGCTCTTAAATCATCTTTTTTTCTCCCTCCTCCTCTTGATGAGGTGGCCAGCTGTTTTTTTCCGCGAGGATGGGGAAGGGTTAAAATGCTGCTGTCTCTTCACTTCTCTAACCCCAAGCTTAGTGGATTTTGCCCAGAACAAACATGGACAATTACAAGTATAAAGAACAGGAACATACCTTCACAGTGCATATGAAAAACTGACTCCCATTTGTGTTGGGGCCTGCATTTGCCATGCTAACAACTCCTGGTCCAGTATGAGACACTACAGATATTCTACATATCAGCATTATATTTGCAATATTACTTCAGCTGAATATTCAGTATGCAATACTGTTGAGAAATATAGTCTCACATTGGTTGTATGGACAACTAATGTGAGGTTTATAAGGCCTTGGGCACTCCCACCCTTAGAGCTAGCTTTTGGGGTGGTGACCTCAAGATTCTTAACATGGTATCAGAGCAATCGAAATCTCACCGCCTCCCACTTTCTTTGTAGTGGAATTTCCATATGTAGGTGGGCTTGTATGTTGTCCACCCTTCAAGCCCAGTGGGCTCTCGTGGGACTAGCTTTTGGGGTGGTGACCTCAAGGTTCTTAACATGGTATCAGAGCGTTCGAAATCTCACCGCCTCCCACTTTCTTTGTAGTGGAATTTCCACATGTAGGTGGGAGTGCCCAAGGTCTTATAAACCTCACATTAGTTGCCCATACAACCAATGTGGGACTATATTTCTCAATAAATACGAGGGTAAAAAAAAATGCAGAAATCTTACACAAAATTTAAGCACCTAAAATGTTTGACTGGTATTTATTTAATAATTGCCAACCAGAAATGAATGCAAGTGAAACATCCTGGAGAGGTTATGGAATGTTTTCAGCAGCAATCCTTTCCTTATTTAAATTATTAAATGGTAATAGTTTCCTTTAATACACTTCAAACGACAACATCCAGATTGCTGAAAACACAGCCCGTTTGGATGAACTTAAATAAAAAAATACTTTTAAATATCTATTTTCAAAAGTTTAAGCTATTTTTGCATTTGGATCAATATCTAAAAGCACTTTTAAATAATAAACAGTATTTTAACTTTTTTTTTAAAGGCCAGAAATCTAGGCTTTTAAAAAAAGCATTTTTTTGACTTTTTTTAATGACTTTTGCTTCTTTTCTTTTTTTTTCAAAGCTACATCCAAACACAGCGTAGGTTGAATTAAAAGGAAAAAAGAAAAAAAAAACCCTAAATTCGTGAGTTGAATTAAAAGGCACAATCTTTAGTTATATATGAATGTAGGGAACATGTTGAAAGAAGCGAGGAGAGGTGGAGGTGAGGGTTAAACTCACGATTAAAATTCTCGTCCTTGAAAGTACGACCATATATACTTTTGCCTCCAGTCCCCTGCAGTAAATAATAATGAGAAGAAAGAAAAATGGGAAAAAGTATGTGAATAGTGAATAGTGAAGTACGGACATTTCCTTTGTCAAAATCTCCTGCTTGAATCATGAAATCCTTGATAACGCGATGGAAGGTGGAGCCCTTGTATCCAAAGCCCTTCTCTCCTGTACAAAGGGCACGGAAGTTCTCTGCTGTTTGGGGCACATCATCACCGTACAATCCAATCACAATCCGACCCGCAAGCTTCCCAACTGGATTTCCAATACTGATGTCAAGGTATACTTTGTTTGTCACTTTTGACTGTACAACTCCTTCTTCCAATGACTCCGAACTCCCCCGCACCACTACCCTTCTTTTCATTCTCGCATTCCCATTCACACTCACACTCACACTCACACGCCCCTGAGGAAACCCCACCCTAAACATAGGGTTAGGGTTCAAAGCTCCCATTTTCATGATTCTGCTTTCTCGAACATTTGACTGAACAAACAAACACACAATTACAATCACAATCACAATCCATGATGAATATTCATTTCAACTTCAACCCAAAATGAAAAAACTAATTACCAGTGTTGGTGTTGTAAGTGTAAATGCAGCCGCCATCAGCCTCACCAGACACAGTCCACAGCAGGAGTACCTGGATATTAACACTCGAGCATTCTCCCACGGTTTATCTCAATTCTCAAAACTCGTACGGAATCATCCTGAAATTACTATACTATCCCCCGTATTGATATTTATTCATATAAATATGATATTGATATGTCATAAGTCAGCTGCTCTCATATCTATGAAAAAAAAAAAAATAAGAGAATGAAAATAAATTATTATTTTTCCACCAAGACATCGGCCAGTTGGCATTAAGTCAGCTGCTCTCATATCTATGGAAAAAAAGGGGAATAATCAATAAATGATTATTTTTTTGTATAATCAGAAAATCAATTTTAAAAGTTGTTTTCTACCTCACAAGTCACAAATTCATTCTTCTAGAAATATTTAGAATTTTGCTCCTCTTATACAAATTAGAATTAAAATGACTATTTAATGCACGTATTGATATCTTTTTCTTTTCTTTTTTCTTTTGGCCATCGTTTATTGAGATTTTTAACAATCAAAATATAGTTAAAAAAATTGAACAATCGTCATGGTTAGTGGAATCATCCCAGGCCACTGTTAGGTAATTTTAGAGAGAGGAATTAATATGAATATTGGGTACTTTGGATGCTAATATTGGTTTATTTTACATGGATATGCCAACGCAACACGGTCACTCGTGCACTCTAGCCCAATGTCATAGGCCATCAAGCAGCTGACACTTCTCGAAGACAAGTTCATTAGATTTTGGCTAACAGTATTATACGTTATCACTGGTATTACATCAAATGCTCATCGTAGACTACACTTACGACGAAACAACAATCAAATGACGTTCATTCTAGTTGGTAATACTATGCCTGCCCTCTTCAGAAGTTCAACAGAAGCCTGTTGTGCCTTCAAAATAACTTCTTCCTGTCATGGACAATACAAATTAAACTTGCGGTCACAGTGAAAACAGGCAAAAGATGCTATTTAGCTACTAGGAACTTAAAACTAGGTTGAAAGATATATTCCTGGAATTACACTTTCAAGCCTCTCACACGGAAGAAAAATTCTTCAATGAAATACCTCGTCCACATTTATAATCTTCTTGTTCTTCATTATCCATTGGCCATTGCACATGACAGAGACCACATTTTCTGTTCGCATGCAATATACTAAGCTGGAAATGCTGCACATTGGTTGAACAGTAACTGTATCAAATTAAAAAAAAAAAATTGGGATGGCACGATGGTAAAGAAAGCTGAATGCAGCCGGCCAAGTTGCAAGAAGAAAAGGAACTTCCACTTCATAGCCAAATAATTGCTTTATATAATGCATGAGAAAGCATAATCATCATACAGTTTCATACATACACAAATATAATAGTCATCTAATTCAAAAATAAGTCATCAAAAATAAGTATTTGACCAAAAGTACCAACCAAGTAATGGGTTCGTACCAGTCATGAACAGGAACCATAGACCAAGACGAAGGATTGACTACAACAATGTCAGCCTACCAAATGACAAGTACAAACACTGTCAGCTTCTGTAGCAAGCAATAGCAAAAAAATGTTATATGTCCTCATCTACAGAAGATGTGGTCTAGAAAAGAAAGATATTGCAGATGACCAGGAAAGCAAGCAAACGATTGGCCCACATTTATCAAATTGATTGCAATAGGTTTTACACAAGTTATTTTTTCTTACATGGTTTTGGTTGAATTTTCACCTTAGGTCCATATGATCTTGAAAATTTTTGCTATTTTACTTTCACTGCTCTTCAGAGTTCTTGGACACAACGAAATTTCTTAATTGCCTAAAGATATCAAGTTTTTCATGTTTCAATTGTACTTTATGCACAATAAAATACAACGGGGATCAAATATGATGAACTATCCTGCTTCCGAACACCATATGTGTCTGCTTTGAATTCAAATCTCTATAGTACATGCTGTGTACAACAAAGAGGTATTCTCATGTTTAGTCCTAGTTAAAAGGGATAGAGTAAAGCATGAAAATAATTACAATGAGAAGGGAAACCTAAATAATCTGAACCAATACCAACCTTTTTCCCAACCTCAAGAGAACCTAGTTCATCATCCCATAGTACCGACTTGGCACCATTAACTGTAACCATTCTAAGAATAGTATCGGCAGGCAATGCTGTTGGGTCTGTAGTTCCATTAGCATAAACTTCCCGTCCTTTGTTAATTAGAGAAGCTAGGTACATCTCGTCAACTGCAAATATAATTTATTAATGAATTTTTCCAGCCAGAAAACTGTAGCAAGCATTTTAAAAAGAGTGTACTGCCCAGTATTTTCCGCCCAAGACTGCAAGACATGAGACTCCCACCACTGCAGTCTGGGGAGGGTTTGATGTACATAGCTTTACATGGTCCTATCCCACATGAACGGATAGGTTGTTTCCATGGTCGATTTAATAATGTATTGAAAACAAAAAACTCTTCCCATAAAAAACCAAATTTGCATACATGATCCAACAAATATAGGTTTGCTGAATAAAGGAAAATTAAAAAAACAAGCAAGAAACAATTCAAAAGTTTAGATTTAAAATGAACCAATGCTCATGCGGTTGTTTGATGGGGCCCCATCAGTTCCCAAGGAGACACAGATGCCAGCATCAAGCATCTCCCTCACAGGTGCGAATCCGAGCATTCGCATTGCAGAAGCAGGACAGTGAGACACTTTGACACCTGCCCTTGAAAGAAGAGATATCTGAAAAATGAAAATGCAATAATAATTACTGTTCTTCACACTATTAATTCACGGTGCCACAGAATTTTTAAATATAGCCTAGGAAATGTTAGTGTATCCCTGGTATGTATTGATACTTTCCCTTTTGCCTCTTCATTGCCCATTTTTTGGCCTCACTTTTTTAGCCCTGGTTAGTTTATTTTGGTGAAGCTTTACAATTTTACTGGTTAAGGTACACACCTGACACCCCAAGAAGCTTTGCTTATTCTTCTACTCCATCGATTCTCTTCTATCACTCTTTTTAAAAAAGTGTGTTGGTTCTTTTTTGTAAAGAACCAATTCAACCCAAAAAAGCTTAAGCTTTTAGGTGAGAGCCTCTTTAATGGTTTATATTATACTCTAACACGCCCCCTCACAAGAGAGCCTATTGAGCTTAAAAGGTGGATGATGCATCAGACCCAGCCTACCTGTGCTAAGAAATTCCACAAAGAAAATGTGAGGCGGTGAGGATCGAACTCGGGACACGAGGCTCTGATACTATGTAAAGAACCAATTCAACCCAAAAGCTTAAGGTTTTAGATGAGGGCATCTTTAATGATTTATATTATACTCTAACATTTTTTGTCTCCGGCTTTACAAAATCTATGAAGCATTAATTTCTTCTAACTTTACCCTTGTTATTAATAAGGGAAAGAGAGGATTAATATTGTGATTATTTTATTAAAAGGTAATTCAGTCAAATGTAATTATTTTTTCTTATCAAGCAATTGAATGGCTTTCTTAATTCTTGCAAAATAACCTTAAAGACAACATAGAATGGAGGGAGTATAGTGTATAGACTATTAACTAAAATTTAAAGCTAAAGGAAAATGCCAGAGGAGTCAAAGTCACACGTTGAAGCATGCTGCAGCTTCAAGGGAAAGAAAAAAAAGAATGCAATGAGCCAATGACGAGAAAGAAAGAGCCATGTTTCAGAGGTTGAAAATATATGTCCATAAAACCCATACTTAGTTGCACCCAAAGAAAAATAAATGAGGAGGGAGTAAGGAACATAATATCAGTAGTTATCAACAAGAAAAACCGCATTACTGAATCAACCATATCTACAAATTGTGGTTAGAAAAGTTGCCATATTTAAGTGGTGAGACCATTTATTATTGATGGCTCTGTGACAAGTGGGTCCAGGTCCAGCAATTCAAAGAAGCCCAGAGGAATTAGTGAGGGAAGGAATGAGTTAGTTAGAGAAGAGAGAGAAAATGCCTAACGGATTGGTGGCATGTAGGATATGGGTGTGTGTGACGTTAGGGGTTTTTCATGGAGAATCTCTTGCAAAAGGTGGGTTCGGGAATTGGAGGAGCTGGTGACTGTCCTTCGGGTAGTGTTTGTTAGCATTTGCTTTCCTGTAAGGCTGTTTTCAGCCAATAGACTCTCTCTGTTTCAGTAATTTGGTGGCTGTAAGGAGCTATGTCTCCAACGGTCTCCAACGTTTTTCATTAATTCAGTCTTATTTTGATTTGGGTTCCATCAATTATCAATAAGAAACAGCAAAAATTTCATAACTGAACAAGTTTTGTTGAAAGGGTATAATCAAGGTTATACAGGAAAAAATTTACCTCATTATTATCAACCCAAACTGAGTGAGCTGCTAACAGATTGTTTTGAAGGAAATCTATCTTCTCCAAGTATGTAACAGTTCCATGATTTATTTTGTGAATATCCATGACTAGTTGGTTCTCATATGGTATCTCTGCAACGTGCTAACAATTTTGCAAATTCAACTCAATTTGTTTCAAATATCAACAGACAGGTTTACATGTGAATTATAATCTAATAAATGTATTGAAACCAAACAAAAGTCTTATATTAAATTTAAGAATATATGGGGGGTGGGGGGAAGGCAACGTCAAAAAGTATGTAATAAGTATACCTAATTATGCTTTAACAAGCAGTAATTCAAGTTAAGATTCCAAAATCTTATCATTTACTAACATAGAATGCATAAAACAGAAATATCAGATGAAAACATAGGCTGGTATGTAGTGCACTGACTAGTTTAACACCCCATATCCTATTTTTCGAGAATGAAGTACGAAGAACGGGTAATAATTAGAACTCCTCCTGCCCCCATTATATAGGCAACCCCCCAAACTGCTTTGGATCTCCTATTCTGTATGATTTAAACAAAGAACAAAATTGCTAATCTACAATTATATGAACCAATAGTCCAATACTAAAAACTGGATTTAGTCACAAGTCAAACGAGGAAGGGGAAGAAAAATAAGCGGGGACAAGGAGACTGGTAAAAAAAGGAGGAACATTTAAAACACCTGGGTGTTTTATAGTTAGCTTCTGCTCTCGAAAATAGAAGAAAGAGGAGTTCGATCAAAAGCTTGACCAATTTCACCAAAAAGACGTAAATTTGAAGCAGATTAAATTGGGACAATTAGTGGAATTTAATTTTTAATTATGAGATTAAGTAGAGAAGTTACAGAAGGAAGTCTAGGATATGTATGTTTGATTGTATTGTAGAAAAACACGGTGGTCAATGGAAGGGGGAGGAGAGAGATGAGTATTGAGCAGCATAGCATGCATACCATATGTATTCCAGTATTGAGTTGTCTGGCAGCATCTCTTGTCTCAAGAAGCAAGCGATCGGTAGAATTCATGATTTGCCTAATTCCGAACCAGACTCTGATGCGCCCTTGGGCTGTATTGTGGTGCTTCTCATAATTGTCCTTTTGAGACTGCTCAGTTTAGAAAGAAGAAAGAAAGAGAGACCAAAATAATTAATAAAGTGGTGAAATGAGTTGGATCGGATGGGAGGGAGAGGGAGAGAGTGACCTGAAGGCAATCATGAGTAGTTCGAGTGGCCCAGGATGATGGCAAACCATGGCCAGAATCCATGGTTGACTGGGTTAAACAAGCACGCAAACCCAGTAAGTCGACTGCTCTAGCCATCCCAGAAACATGTTGGCCACCAGCTTCAGCAAAACAGGTTACCTGAAAGTGAAAGTGAATTTTGAATTTGAATTTGAATTTGATTTTGAAATAGAAGAGAAGAGAAGAGAATAGACGACGTACACCAGAGTGAATGAGTTCGATCCCACAAAGCAAAGTAGAGAGGTAAGAATCGTGTGCTGTCATGTTGGATTCGTAAGGCCAAATGCGGTGATGCAACCATGTCATTAAGTCAACATCATCAGCTATGCCTCTAGCTAGTTGTTGGGAACTATGAACGTGGCTGTTAATCAATCCTAATATTTCATTTATTAATTACCAATTAGCAGTTAGTTAGCAGTGGATTATTCAAAACAAAATTCAAGAAATGAGTAACCAGAGTAGAGTAACTGTAACTGAACTGACCAGGGAGCAAGATATGGCCGGTGAGATCGAGAACGTGGTCGGCAACATGAGCAAACTCAGCAAGAATATGGTGAGATTGGCCAATGGCTTTGATTTTATCTTGTTCGATCACGATGCCGCCATCCCTAAACACTCGTTTTTCCTCGTCCATCGTTACGATCATACCACCGTGCAGCACACTCACCAACTTCCTCTCTTTCTCTCCCTCCATCACTGCCTCCCTTTTCTTTCTCTCACTCCAAATCTCCATAAACAAACGCCAATTTCAAAGTAAGGTTATGTTGGGTAATTTAAATTACCCCATTTTAAAATGGGATATATTTTTCTTATGTTGTAGGAAAAGAATTATCTCATGTTGTAGAGATAAAAGTATAAGTGGGACCCACATGTAAGAGGAGAGAGAGAAAAAAATAGTGGGACCCAACCCATTTTTGTGTGTGTAGGAGAGATGTTTATCTCATGTAAAATGAGATAAACATAACCCTTTTAAAATCTTTAAATAATGTTGTCAAATGTAGATGCTCATTTTATAATGCTAAATTAAACTACTGATTCTACCGCGAGCTAAACTAGTAATTAAGGATTGATCATCATCATATCATATATTTTTTTTTTTTTTTGTAAATTCATATCATATATTTTCATTAAAAAGTAACAGAGAAAAGCATAGGAGATTTTCTTTGAAGATTGCTTAAATTCTTTTAACACAAATATATATAGAGTGATTTGGGTTTTTTATTTTAATTTTATACATTACTAAATTAATTTAATTTTACTTACTTTTTTATTTTATGTGCTTTTAATATTCATTCAATTGCAATAAGTCATTTTTAATATTTTGTAGGCATCTTTTAATTGGGAAATTTTTCTTTTATCCTATCACAACTCGTCTGCATAGAAAATATAATTAAAATATTATGAATTTCCTGATATATTATTGACTTTCAAATTTGATTGTCTCTTATGAGGTATATTAAGAAAATATAATATAAAATTATTAATCGAGTTGTTCTTGAAATAATTTTTTACCTATAACACCATCAGTTATCATGGTAAGGAGAGGAAGGAAACGGGGTTGTGATGGAATGAGAGTGCATGAAAACGTTTTGAATTAATTTCAGAGCAAAGAAAAGGCCAGACAAGTTTGGAGGATGAGGGTTCATCGCCATCTCAATTATTTAACGGAGAAGTTTTTTTTATGCGTTTTTCTTTTTCATTTAATTAGAAAAAGGGAAAATATAGATGTAAAAATATGGCCTGTGGCCAAAAGTCAACCCAAGAAAAATCTATTTAATTAAATAGATCACACTTTACGTCTTCTAAAATGCAGTGGTGTTCCCACCAACACCATCTGAGGAGGGGTATAATTATCGTAATTTTTGGATTCACACCCGAATTCTGGATCAGTCTCATAGGTGACTCAAATAGTTGAACCCGTGGGGATACCTGAGGTTCTGATTCGCCTCAAAGAAGTAATTAGGATCAGTTTCCAACAACAACAAAATGCAGTTGTTAACGGGTCGAGTCGACCCAAGCTTTGGTCTTAAAATGTTAAGTCTGTTTATATGTGTCAGCCTGGTCAAGTCTGTTATCCGTTATGAATATAATTATCGGCATATGGCCTAACTTATTCATAAAAATTGAAAGCCTTATTTAGCCTGTTTAAAAAAATAAGACAATAAAAATTTATCTAAACAGAATGTACAATCAACAACACTAACAATTTCATAAATATATATTCATAAATTCAATGTATATCCAAACAACATAATATAGAACAAAATCATTCAAAAAATCTGTTTAACCAATAAAATGTGGTGAAATGGATTGAGGAGAGAGATGAGCTATTACAAGTAATATAAAAAATATAAAATAAAAATAAAAATTAATATAATAGTTCAGCCTGAGAGGCTCTAAGGCCCAGCTTTTAAATTGAAGCATGATACTTTTTTATTAAACGAGCTTTTATATAAATTCAAGTCTGGTTCCAATAACCAATTTTAAGCATATAAGCTCTTAGGCCTTCACGAGCCGAGCGAAAGACCCCCGGTTCGTTTATCAACTTTACCTTTAAGTTTGACAAATATACCTGTTTAGACATATATATGTAGAATAATATTTTAATATCCATGCAATTTTATAAATAAAGTTTTTAACAAAAATATAGGGAAAAGTGTTTGTCATTTTAAATGACATAAAATTATGTCATTTTAAGAGAGAGACAGACACAGAAAAAAATTTATTTAAATTTTAAATTAAAAAAAACCACCCACTTTTTTTCTTCCGTAATTTTCGTTTATATATGTCAATTTCTAAAAATAAGGCCATCATCGTAAGATAATTTTTCTCGGATGACGGAGCCATGAAACCTTCAATTTCATTACGCAATATCGGAAAGAATAATCACTAAAATATAGTTTTTAAAAAATTTATCAGTTCAAGTGTCATAGTTTGACCATTTTTGTTATGTGTGCCTAACAAATATAAGTGTAAATAGATTGGATTGGGTTGAGTTTTAATTTAAAGACGTTAGATTTGTATAAAATATTTTAGTTGTGGTCTAATCTGTTAATCTTATATAGGCTCAGATTATAAGTTTAATCTGACCTATATTTAAAAAATCAAAATTTTGGTCTAGACCTATACAATAATATCATTTCATTATTTAAAATGATTAAAATAAAATTTATTTATTTTATTTAAAATAAATAATATAATATAATATAATATATGTTGGCATGTAAGTTTATGGGTCTGGTATGAAAAAAAAAAATGCTTTATAAATAGATTTTTTTTTAAGTCTGAGCCTTTTTAATTTGACTATATATAATAGGTCAAATCTGACTTAATATAGGCTGAGTCGTAAGCTCCTATTAAATTAGCCTATCCATTTACACCCTAGTAACAAATATGGCACATGTGAAAGTATCATATTTATAAGCCCCATATAACTAAAAATGATAAGAGAATAATTAAATTATATCACTTTAATAATTAATTTTAAAATTATATTTATTTAAAAAAAAATTAAAACTATATTAAATTGTTTAGTTTTTTTTTTATACAAATGAAAATAAACATATAACCTAATAAAATTTACACAAACCCCTCACTACTATGTCAATCATAATGACTCATTAAATTGTTTCGTTAACCCGCGATAGCTTATGTTGTGCATCGCTCAAGGCCCGATCCCGATCAGTTGTGTAGCAAGCCCATTATTCATTCTTGGTTGCTAACTAACCATGTTGCAACAATTTTTTTTTTTTCACAATCTATTTTTTTTCGCTTGTTTATTGAAAAGAAAACCAATCTGCAATCTCCATCATACAAGGAAGGATCCTCTTAATTTTTTTTTTCATTTTTACAATTTAAACTCGAAATCTCTATTTAAGTCATTCTTCGCAATCTCAATTTTCTGTTCCAAATTTCTTTAATGCTTTTTCTACTAGAATGTGTTTTTTTTTTTCTCTTTTAATATGGATTCTATAGGCATGTTTGATTATAGGGAAAACTTCATTTTCACCCATTATAGTTTTGTGAATTATCATTTGACCCCTCATGATTTTAAACTTATCAAGCGGCTGGACAGAGTGGTGGCTAATGTGTCTTGGAGAATGAAGTTTGATGAAGCCAGAGTGGTTTCTCTTCCTCGTCTACTATCATACCACAACCCTTTAATGATCAAATTATTTGAGGAAGTTAATGATAAAGGCAAGAGACCGTTTCATTTCTTCGCTGCTTGGCAAGAACATCACAATTTCAGTGACTTTCTTAAATCAAAGTGGGAGCAGGATTTTTATCTTCCTTATATGCTTCAAAGGCTGGTACCCGAAATCAGAATTTGGAATAAAAGAGTATTTGGTAGTATTGAATCTAAGAAGAACAACATCATTAGGAAAATTGCTAGCATACAAAAACGACGTGAGCAATTTGACACAGATCATCTGAAACACGAGGAGAAGAAATGCCAAAAAATGCTGACTATTGTTCTAAGAGAAGAAGAGTTGTTCTGGCATCAAAAATCAAGACAAAAGTGGGTGAGTGATGGGGATAGAAATACTCATTTTTATCATATGAGCACAGTGTTGAGAAGAAATGTGGATAAAATCTCCAGACTTAAAAATGATGCTAATGTTTGGGTGTCAGATCCTAATGACCTCCAATTTTTAGCTTGTAATTTTTTTAAGAATCTTTTCACAGATGATATTGAAAAAAGAAGGTGGATTACATCTGGTAATATATGGCCAGTACTCTCCTATGAAGATCATGAGGGTCTTCGAAGATCCCCCAGTGAGCTGGAAATTAAACAAACTATATTTTAAGATGGGTGCTCTCAAAACTCCCGGCTCTAATGGTTTTCCAGCTATCTTTTACCAAAAGAATTGGCAGCTGATTAAATCTCAGATTTGTACATTGGTGAATCAGGTAGGGAAATACCCTGAGTTATTGGCATCTGTGAACTCCACTCTTCTAGTGCTGATACCGAAAGTTCAATCCCCTGTGCATATCAGCCAGTTTCGCCCTATCTCGCTCTGCCCGGTTATTTATAAAATTATTAGTAAGCTCATAGTGAATTGTCTGAAGCCTATCATGGAAAGAGTGGTCTCTCCTGTTCAAACAAGTTTTGTTCCCAATCGTCATATTCAAGATAATATAATTGTGGTACAAGAATTAGTTCACTCTATGAGAAAAATGCGGGGTAGAAAGTTCTTCATGGCTATCAAAGTGGATCTAGAAAAAGCATACAACCGGTTAAACTGGAATTTCATCCGTAATGTTAGGGAAGAAATCCAGATTCTGAATACAATTCTTGAACTGGCTATGACAGCAGTAACATCACCCAAGACTGCAGTGATTTGGAATGGGAAAGTAACTGAGGAATTCCAACCGAGTAGGGGTGCTAGGCAAGGTGATCCTTTGTAACCTTACCTTTTCGTTCTAGCCATGGAAAAGCTCTCTCATATAATCAGCACTGCTGTCAGTGGAGGATTGTGGAAGCCTATCCGGGCAGCAAAAAACGAGCCCTTAATCTCACATTTACTCTTTGCGGATGACCTGATGCTTTTCTTAGAAGCAAGTGAGGATCAGATTCATGTTCTTCTCCAATGTCTTGGTCTGTTTGGGGAAATCTCTGGTGAAAAGGTGAGTGAGCAAAAAACCACTGTGTTCTTTTCCAAGAATACTCCGAATGATATTGCTAACAAAATCATAGATATTAGTGGTTTTAAGCGAGTAACAA